TGGAAAAGCAAATCACTAATGCTGAAGAACAACAAAGTTTTACAAAAGGGCGGTCTATAACAGACGCAGTATTTATAATAAAACAAATAAAAGAAAAAGCTATAGAGTTCGGCATGCCAGCGTATATTTGCTTCATTGATTTGACGAAGGCATTTGACAGAGTTCGCCTGGGAGACATTCTAAATATATTAATAGAAAATGAAACACCGACCAGTATAACAAAGATACTCCATAACCTAAATAACAACAACGTAGCCAAAGTTAGAGCAGGAGACGAATTCACTGAAAATATTTCAACACCGGGAGGAATTAGACAAGGCGACAGTTTAAGCCCCTTCTTGTTTAATCTTCTCATGGGCAAAATTATCAACAAAGTAACATCTCTTAATCTTGGATATAGAATGAGCAACAAAAGAATTGGTATGGTGTGTTACGCAGACGATGCAGCAATTATTGCCGAATCAGAAGATGATCTCCAAAGGCAGCTCTTTCAGTTCTTTCAAACAAGCCGACTACTAAATATGAACATCTCTACCAACAAAACTAAATGTATGATAATAGCAAAAGATCCGCTCAGATGTAAGTTAGTGGTTGAGGACAACCCCATAGAACAGGTGATGCAATTCAGATATCTAGGCATAGATATATCAAGCACCCACGACCCAGTAAAGGACCTGAGGAGTCAGATCAACAAAGCATCTGCACTGTCAGGATGTCTGCGGGAGATAGTCTGGTCAAATCCGTATATGCGCACAGATAGTAAAATTAGAATCTATAAGACTTGCATACGACCGATCATGACATATGGCATAGAAGTGCGCGAAGATACCAACAAAACGAAACAGATGCTAAGGGTTGCCGAAATGAAAACCCTAAGAACAATAATGGGGAAAACAAGAAGAGACAGAGTGAGAAATACAAACATTAGAGAGCAGTGCAAAATTCAAGATATTGTAAGATGGGGAAGGCAGCGCAAGAGGATGTGGTACAACCATGTAAGACGAATAGATGAGAATAGACTCCCAAAAATTGCCCTAGAAAACAATCCGCCCGGTTCAAGACCCCCCGGAAGACCACCTAAAAGATGGAGAGATAGTTGGCAATCTACCTCCCAAGAAATTAACCAGAGGCAGCTTCAGAATTAAACAGATCGAAAGATCTACAAAAAGTAGAAGAAGAAGATATTTTAATCACGTACCTCGTTTATTCTATCTTAGCTCCTTAGGTATTTGTAATTATTCACCGTTTAAATGGGGGATGCTAATGTTTTTATGATAAATTGGATTTCTACTTAAGATCATATACCTACTTGGTTTTCTTAGTATTAATCATTAAACCGAACCGTATTTATTGCACTCTATTCATATGCTCTAGTAAAAGTTGAAGCTCTTATCAGTGATTCTGTGGACCTGGTCTAGTGTTGCGTGATTATTTCTAAACCCAAATTAATGTAGAGGGATGATACATGATTGTTCTATATTTTAAACAATTTCAAAATCATTGGCAGCAACGATATTGGCCGATATTATGTTACCTCATTTGATGGTTTCCCAGGTTTTGCTATGATAGTTATTTTCTCGTTCCAGCATCTTGGAAAGTCTTAAGTCTAATCAATGCATTGAATAGATTTCATAGCTTAACTATTGCTTTTGTCGATCGGATAGCCAAGCGAGCTGGGCGGCTGGCTTCTCCTTCGCTTCAATGCGAGAAATGTCAGTTCAATCCCCAGCTCGGTGTACAGAAAAACAAAAAGGCTAACGCAGCAGTTTAAAATTCTAAATGAATCTGCGCTTAGTCTATAGGTAATATGCTGGTATCTGATCGGCCTATGGTGGAGCAGTACGGCAAGAGATAAGGCTTGTGGTTCGGTGATACTCCTCCATAGATCCCTACCGGAAGGGCGTGTGCCGCCTAAATAATACCGATATATAAATATATATATATATATAATATATAATATATATATATAACTATATATATATAACTATATATATATATATATATATATATATATATATATATATATATATATAACTATATATATATAACTATATATATATATATAACTATATATATATATATATATATATATATATATATATATATATATATATATATATAACTATATATATATATAACTATATAATAACATATATATATATAATATATATATATATATATATATAATATATATATATATATATATATATATATATATATATATATATATATATATATATATAACTATTGCTTTTCCAGGCAACTTTTTCAAGATTTCTCTTATTATGACATTAATATATAACTATATATATATATATATATATATATATATATATATATATATATATATATATATATATATATATATATATATATATATATATATATATATATATATATATATAACTATTGCTTTTCCAGGCAACTTTTTCAAGATTTCTCTTATTATGACATTATACCCTGGTACCTTTTTTGGACTAATGTTTGTTAGTATTTCAGTTTTAATTTCTTCAGGTGTAACTAATTGCATTGTTTCCGTAATATTTTCATCCATTGTTGGAAAGTTGTCAACCTGAGATTGTATATCATGCAGTTTAGAAGTATTTTCCAAACAATCAGCAAATATGTCCGCTGTTTCTTGATTATTTTTAGCCCATGCACCATAGGACTTTCTAATGCGTAGATTTTGTCTATTTGGCCTCTCAAATCTCTTTGTGGGTCTCCATAATGAGTCATCACTATATTTTGCATAGGTCAGCTCCCTTAGGATTTTGTCTATTGATTCGTGTTTAATTTTTTTAATTTCTCCATATATCAATACTTTATATCTGAAAATTCCATAAGATGTTGCAAAACAGTATTTCCAGAATGATGCCTCATCAAGTTCCAAATGAGATACCCTTCAGAAAGATCAAATACAGAGAATATCTTTTAACTCATTATTTGTGCACAAGCATTTTCCAATTTATGTACCTACTACTTTTGGTTTGCGGACTATTTGTTTGTTTAAGTCTGATGGGTCTAGGCATAAACGTAATATACCATTTTGCTTTTCCACAATAACAATGCGGTTTATGCTTGTGCTCAAGTCAATTTCGTTAACCTACACAATTGTCCCTCGTTTTGTCAACCTATCTAATTCATCTCTTAAATTATATCTAATTGCAACAGGTATATTTATAGGTAGGTAACTTACTGGAATACTTGGGGAACACAGACTGAACGATTTGTAGATGCATCTGCAGATGTATCATCACAAGCTGATCACATATCTACAAATCGTTCAGTCTGTGTAAAAATGGAAAAGAATAAGTCAGAGATCAGATGTGTGAAGAGGCGTCGGACGTCCGCACCGAAACCCTTTGATCTGTGCTAAAAAACCGACAACAATCGGATATCTTGCAGACGCAGTATCACAACTCTCAACATTGTTGATTCGTTTAACTAATCCCAAATCAATATATAATTTGCCACTTAAAAGAACTCGAATTGCCCCATCAACAATAATTCTGAAGTCCTCATAAACATATTTATTTTTATATTTACAAACTAAATTAACGACATCTCTATTATTTTAGCACGAGTACCCTTAAACCCATTAAGTACACACTGATTATGTCTAATTTTAAACTGTTTATCAATATTCTTAAAATTTTTTTAATGAAATATACTTACATTTGCACCTGTATAAGTTTTACTTGAATTCTTTTATTTTCAATTTCTATAATTTCATCACAAATATTTTGACAACTTACATTTTAGATAAACATTTCCTACAAAAATATCAGCTGATCCTCCATTGCTGTCTTCATCTATGACATCAATATTCTTGACTCCGCACAGACTTTGCAAAACGGTTGTAAAATCACACAATTCTTTTTATACGCTGGGCATTCTCTGGCCCCATGATTTAATTGACATCGTTTACACTCGAATTTTTTATTATCGTTGGCTTTACTTTTACAGTTATTATAGTTTTTGTGGCCCTGAAACTAATCTTTATTCCTTTCTTTATGAGCTTCTCCTTTATTCACATCTTTTCTTTCGTTGTGAAATTTCAAATTTTGGTTCTTATTTTGCTCACTAGTTTTACCAAACTTTGCCTTTTGTAGTCTAGTAAATATCTTGTGTCCCAGACCTTTGTCTTGGGCTGTTTGTTCTGGATCAATTTCATTATAATTACATTTCGAATCAAATGTCTCCAACTAGTAAGAAACTGTTTAAACGACTCTTCTTTCTGAATCAACATGATAAAATTGAATCTTTTTAACGATTCTTTCATACTTAGATTAACATATTTGTCAATTAGTGACATCATCAACTTATTAGTTTCTGATTCTGGTATGGCAAATGTGGACATAGTTTTGGTAGACTCAGTCCCAATTAGGTTGGTCTTGTCCAGTTGCTAGTAGATTATTTTCGAAACTGGTTTTCCGGAACTTCTATTCACTTGCCACATTTTGACCCTGTAGGTCAAAATCTGGCGGTAGTTTTACACTTATTCGCATAGTCATTTTATGTTATGCTACCTCGTGCCTCACTACGTTATCCAAGTTTCTTTTTCTTTTATGGTGAAATATAGTTTTTCGACTGTAACCCAACTAGCTGTTTGACTGCGCCATGTTTTATACTTTAAGGGTTTACAAGTCAAGCAATCATATAAAGGTATTAATTAAACTTATATTCTACAATTATATGAAATATCTCAAAACGCAGACATGTTTCATATTTCTCTTCTTCTTTTTCTTCTACTTCATCTTTCTTTTTTTGTCGGATTATATGAAAGAATAATTTGCATCTTATAATTTTTTCATAGATTTTATCTAATATTTCTACACTTTTATTATTCTGCTGTTTTTGTATATGAATCGTTTTTCATAAATTGATAGTCCTTTAAGTTTAAAAATCCTTCCTAATTGCTAAATAAAAACATGGTATCAAATTTAGGAAAAATCGGATATATTATGTGGAAGGTACTGGTTGTATAAAGAAATAGATTTTTCAGTAATTAAAAATTTTATTAGTTCAAAATACAGATTTGAAAAATAGAATATGAATTATTTCTTATTTTTTCCTTTTAACCATCATAAACATTGTAATTTAAGTTAGTTTAAAATTAAGTACTTATGAAATGCAAAATTAAAGAGAGTCACCAAATATGAAATTTTTGACTGTTATGTATCCAATCAATATGTCGTTTTGAAAATGATTGTTAGTACATTTTTTTTTTCGTTTAAATAGAATCCAGATACATTTAAATGCTAAGGCAAGGATATATAATGAACATAATGAATCAAATTGTCAGTCTTCTTCGAAGTTAGTTAGTCAATAATAAATAAATAAATTAAGAACAATTAAATGAACGGTTATCTCTTAGGTTGAAATCTGATCAACATTGGCCCTGCAGTAGAAGCTTTAGGTGAAGTTTCGATGATCTCTGCATCAGAATTAGTTGTAGCTCCAGATTTTGCTAATAAGTCATTAACATAAGTATCCCTGCTTAAATCGTTAATCCAAGGTTTTTCAGTAGACATTAGAGGTTGAACTCTCTGAGTAGATACTCGAATTGGTTTGATGATTTCTGCGTCGGGATTCATTGGAGCTCCCGATTTTGCCAATAATTCATTGACATAAGTGTCCCTGCTTAAGTCAATGTCTGGTTGATTTTCGTTGAAGTTTAAAGCGTTGTCATCAATGGACTCGATTTTGTTAAGGTCGTCCCATTCAGAGTTATCTACTAGGTAGGATAAACTAGTAGGTCGAAATTTGCTTCCGGAATCCAGTTCGTCTAATTCTAGGGGTTGATAGTAGACGGCCTGATGAAGAAAAATAGTGCAAATGCAAATGAAGTGTGCAGAAACACAGAATAAAAATAGAACACAAATACAAAAGGTTAATATCAGCAATTTTCACGACAAATGTAAATAAAATATTTGTTAGTTTTGAATTCTAGATATTTGATTAAATTCATTATCATGCACCTATGACTACAGTTATAGTACAGTTATATTTACAGAATTTGTTTTCTTTTAGATTATAATTAGCTTTTATACAAACTAAGTGTTTTTCTAAGAGTTACATTCTGACAACAGAAGAAAAAGTGAAACTAAGACAAGAAATTCGAAAGCATATACACTTCATCTAATTTACATACCGATGCACGTTATCTGCGACATAGCTTGTGACGTCACATGATACCAACACGAAATATTTAGGCTGTAGGTGTGTTCTTTCTTAGAATCACTTTGCCGAGTACACTGGCATTACAGCCACTAGACATATTTTATTATATACGCGTAGAAATAATATTTAAAAATTTCTATTAATGTTAACAAAGAAATACACAATAATATGTTTCATTTAATTTGTATAAATGCATTATAAAGCGTTTTTATGAAGAACATATGTTCGGAACACACTGTAACTGTAATCGAACGAAGGTGAAATTTTGGCATAAATTGGTAACACTTATTTGACAGTTGCGGTGTTGACACTTTTTGTACTTTATTATTTTGAATTTTAAAGTGAATACTTCTTGTTTTATATTTTTACCTATTTAATAAAATCTGTTCTTTTTAGACCAAAATTAGTGTGTATTATTTCAAAAATGTCACGTACGAATTTAAATAGTCGTTGTAAAGAGATGGTAATACTTTTGCAAGAATTATGTGATCTATTTGATTTAAAATGGAGTCAGAATTTTTTTATACTTTATCAACTATGTCAACTTCGATCTCTGACGTAGATAATGACGTGCATCGGTATGTAAATTAGATGAAGTATACATAAGAATCTACAAAAGATTATGGAATCAAAAATTTACACCGAGTATTTTAAACTTGACAGACGCAAAGGGAATTTTAAAGAGCTGCTCCAGAAGATACAGGAAGGAAATTATAAGTATTAAATCGAAAAGATTGAAGAGAAAATAGAAGAGTACATATGTTAATGTGTACTCTTTTTTATATGTACATAAGTTGATATGATCTATATAAAAAGAGGATAAAACGGAATATTGCAATTACAGCGCTATTGCTTTGTTTACCTAACAAAGTTATTGGATGCAAACTGGACAAATGCCTGAAGGATGAAGGATGTGCTCTTGATCAAATGTTTGTACTAAAAATGATATAGAAGGGTACTTATGGGCAACGGTTTAACATAAATACTCTCTTTATTGACTTTGCTTATGATTCAGTTATAAAAAAAACAACTGGCGGAGAGGTCAATTAAACTATTAAAATGACACTAAATTATTCGAAAACAAAGTTACGAAATATAGGCTGACTTCATAGGCCAACAATTTTTTTTTAAGTTTGTTTACTTAAATAGCATAAATAGCTGATTTATAGATTCTTATGTGCTAAATCCAAATCCGGCCTTATTTCTTTTTGTATCACTCTTAGAGCTACAGAGCGATACGCCTTATAGTCCAAGTTAGGTAGAAGCTATATACATCGATAAAGGACAAAAGACTAAGATAGTACGTTGATCCAAAACTGATAGAAGAACAGGTAGCATTTAGAATAGATAAACACAAGTATCTACCTAAAACATCAATCTGAATCATAGAAAGTACATACAAGACAGTCAGTGAAAAGTAAAAGTAGGACAAAGATCACATTAATTCAAAATAAACAAAGGCATAAAAATGATGGATTCGACCATTACTTGATAGACATTCATTTTATATAACAATAAAACACAGAAAACTTTGTTTTCAAAACTTCCACAAAATTTATTATAATATCTTACCACTGCAGCTGTTCCGACAGAGAGCTTTTCTCAAGTGATCTTTTTTCGTACGTAATTACACTTTATAGTCCTTAACTGAATAGGTTAAGAAGGGGAGAACTGTTTATCTCAAGTTGGTCATTCAATAAAGACATAATTCTGAAGCTTTCTTGAAAATACTTGCTTTTTTGAGCAATCTGCTTTTTATAATATAGTACAAAACTCCTATACAGTCTATGGCGAATTTAATGAAATGTTATGATACATCATAAGCAAATAAATTGGTATAAAGTCAGGGTAGGGATGTTTGCAGTCATTGAATATGTATTGTCGATATTCTTTACCAAAATTGGTTTGATATTCCGAGATAAAACTGTTTAATAATCGTGATATCAGTCTCCCTCTACAACTAAGATATGTTTAGTACCTTATTGCTGTAAAATCTATTGACAACTTCATCCCGATCTCAGCAAGAGTGATGCTCTTTCTTCTTCTTAAGGTTCCATATCCTATCGGAGGTTGGATATCATAACGGCTATGGTAACTTTGTTGGCTATTGCTCTGAAAAGCTGTAGTGAACCACAGTTAAACCATTCTCTAAGATTCCTCAGCCAGGAGATGCGTCTTCATCCTATGCTTCTTCTTCCTTGGATCCTTCCTTGCATCTAGCAGCTCATATTTTTCTCCTCTGGTTATGTGACCCAAATACTCTAGTTTTCTTCTTTTTATGCCGTTCATAATTTCTAACTGCTTATTTAGACGTCGTAGTACCTCAGCATTGGTAATCCTTTGAACCCACTGAATTTTTAACATTCTTCTGTAACACCAGATTTCGAACGCTTCTATTCTTCTTATGTGTTGTTTCTTCAATGTCCAAGCTTCCATTCCGTATAGTAAGATAGAAAATATGTAACATCTTATAGTCCTCAATCTGAGATGCAACTGAAGGTATCTGTTGGTAAGCATTGTCTTCATTTTCACAAATGCTTGCCTTGAAGTTTCAATTCGGACTTGGATTTCTCTGCTTTGGTCATTTTTGCCATCAACCCAGGTTTCCAGATAGTTGTATGTCTCTACTTTTTCTATTTGGGTTTGCTCTATCATTAATCTTTCATTCCCATGTTGCGTTTTTGAGACAATCATAAATTTAGTTTTTCTCTTATTTATTTTTAGTCCGTATCTAATGCAATAATCGTTAATTCTATTTACCAATTCTTGTAGCGATTCCAGGGTGTCTACCATTATAACGGTGTCATCAGCGAATCTTATGTTATTTACTATTCTTCCGTTTACAGAGATTCCATAACCCAGATCCGCTATCACTTCCTGGAATATGGCTTCACTGTACACGTTAAACAGTAATGGTGACAGAACACAACCCTGTCTTACTCCTCTCTTTATATCTATATTTTCGGACTTTTGTTCTTGTATCTTTATATTGGCCTTTTGATTCCAATACAGATAATAATTTGTAAGTCTTGTCTGTCTACATCTTTGTTTCTCAGAATTTTCTATTAGTTTTTCATGTCGGACCCTGTCGAATGCCTTCTCGAAGTCAATGAAACAGGAATAAATATCTAGGTTCATATCTAAGCATCTTTGAGAGAGGACATTAAAAGCAAACAAAGCCTCTCTCGTTCCCAGTCCCTTGCGGAACCCAAACTGAGTATCATCCATATCCTCTTCTAGTTTTCTATATAATCTTCCATGAATCACCTTTAGAAATATTTTGAGGGTATGGCTTATTATTGATATTGTCCTATAGTATGAACAATCTTTGGCATATACTGTTTTTGGTATTGCTACAAAAGGTGGACACCAACCATTCCTGTGGATTTTTCCAGTTTTATATACTTCATTAAATAGGTCCAGAAGTACAAGTAGAGTTTCATCGTCTAGACATTTCAGTAGTTCCGCAGGTATTTCGTCTGGACCTACAGTTTTTCCGTTTTTTACGTTTCGTATTGCTTGTTCGATTTCCTCTATTATGATCTCTGGCTGATGCTCATACAACTGAAAACAAGACCAATCCACATCAATATCATTCAAGTGTATGCACATACAACAGAAGGAACATAAGAAGGGGTAGAAGAACTATACCATAGCATTAATGAAGTCGTGAAAAGGTTCAGAAAGCAAGACCTAACAATTGTCATGGGTGACTTCAACGCAAAAGTTGGGGCCAGCAAAATATCATCTTGCGGAAGCAAATCAATTAGTAATAATGAACACCTGGTTTAAGATATCCCCAAGGAAATTGTACACCTGGAAATCTCCACAGAATTCTGTGTACAGAAATTGTAAAGGTGTCAGTTGTGATGTTTTTGCATGCCTAATTCACTACAAGAATGTTTTCATAAAGTCAGGCATGAACAAATGGAAGCGCTGAAGAGGACAGGGATTGACGAAAGAGACCTAAAAATAATTGCTAGCCTGTATTGAAATCAATAGAATAGAAGAATAAAAGAATATACAGATCAGGACAAAACCTCAAGGGGTGTGAGATAGGGGTGCATAATTTCACCACTGATATTCAATCTGTACTAGGAGCACACTTTTGAAGAGGCTCTAAAAGACATCGATAAAGGCATCTCAATAAATGGAGTCAAACTCAATAACCTGTGGGATCTAGATGATACAATAGTGTTTTTGAATACCATAGAATTGCTGTAAAACTTAATGAACAAAGTAACGGAAACAAGTAGAACATATGGACTGGATATAAACACCAGCAAAACCAATCTAATGATCATCAGCAAGGAAAATATAACTGTGGCAAATCTGTATGTGAACTAAATGAGAATTAAAAGTATCTCACAGTACAACTACTTGGGAACTATAATCAAGGCAGATATAAGCTACTCCAATGCATTTTGCAAGGTAAAATTGAAGGAAAAAGGCCCCAGGACGAAGAAGAATATCCTGAGAGCATGGTATAGAAAGACCTCAACACAGCTATTTCGTATAGCAACCAACAAAATCATCATAGCCAGAATGATCGCCAACGTTCGGAATGGACAGGCACCCTAAGAATATGTAGTTAAGTTTTTTTTAACTACTTTCCTTTCAGTTAGTATGCTTCCCTTTTTTTACTTTCATTCTGACATTGCTTTGAATATACCGATTTCAGTATCCCCAGTCTAGGTCTGTTGACCCACTTCTCAATGCTCGCCATTGTGTTCTTCAAAACACCTGAGAGCCGATATCATTCGAACGTCTTTAAACCTTGGTTTCTTCGTTGAGCTGAAATTCAAAAACAAAAGTTCCCCTCGAGCTAATTTTTAAGGGTTACCCAAAATGGTACATTGTGCGCCTTCTTTTATACATCCAGGTTTATTGTTCGTTATAATCGTAGTGCTACTTTAAAAATTCTTATGTTCAATCATTGCATCGTTTCAATACATTGTTTCAGACAAGTTTCACTAGAACTTACATTAACTTTGCCGTCTAGAAGATAACGTTTTTTGACTTCGCTTTTCAATTTCCAACGAAACTTTTTTTTATAATTGTTGATTTCGTGTTTACAATGCTCGACCATTATTCTATATCTTTAATAATGTACATAAAAAACGTAAACTAAGGTAATCGTTACATGCGTTAGTAAGTTAGTGTGTAAAGGAAATTGTTAATACTATTAATGTTAGCACCTTTCATAGGAAAAAGGTGGATTTGTCATTGATTCTAAAAAAGTAAGTTAATAAAACCTTTATTTACCAATAAAATTTATACATCAATCAATTGAATAAAAACTGTGATATAATATAGGTACTACGTCAGATTCCTGTCAGCTATTATTAATTTCTAATAGTAATAAGTAGTAATAAAAATACTCTGATATAAGTATTCATCTACAACTATTAGGTAAAAGCATCACTGTATTGTTATGTATATGTATAAAATCTATATATCCGTTTCAAATGCATAAAATATTAATTCGTATAAGTGCCAATATTACATAAAATATTGGATTACATATTTAATGATCAGAAGAAGCGTTTATTGAGCTTTAAAATGAACTATAAAAAGATAATGGCAAAAAACAACCTTAGTTACTGTATTTTATAGTATGTCATTATAATCTGAGATTTAGCTTGTAGCTTATTATGGCCAAAATGACTCCTTTATTTGAATATTTAAAAATATCTAATCATATTTTTACTAGTATACTTTTTATACTAATAGTCGCTATATTAGTTTTTAATGTTCTAGAAATCTGATATGGCAAAGCAATCTAAGTAAAATAAAAATAATTTAATGAAATCACGTGTCTTTTTGTGAACAAATACGTACATTTAAAACGGATTATAGCATATATTACAGACGTATTAGTATTAATATTGTAATTGCGGAAGAAGGAAAGGCTTTTCGCATGCTTTTAGACGGCTCTCAGTTTTTCGGGAGCACTTTTGGTACCAACCTCTTTGTTTTTGTCAATTTCGTTTTCTATACTATTTTCTAAAACCTCTCTATCTTTAGGTATTGCGACAGTTGATCCTGTAGCGTCTTCAGCTTCAGTAGGTTTTACGTCTATGACACGGACTTGGAAGAAAGCACTTCCGTTTTCACCGTCTTTGTGGTATTGTGTTTGATTGATAACTACTTTGTGGCCATCGATGATCTGGAAAAAGTAAGACATTTATCATAAGTATATTAGTATTTGCGCAAATTTCAACAAGGAATTGAAATTGTACGATAGGGTTTACTCCTAAAAACTGAAGACATGAAAGCGAATGAAAAGAGTACTTTTAAGTTACATCAAATCTAAGACGGTTATTATGGTCATTTCTTGTCTTCTTGAAATAGATAATGCATTCCTCAGCATTATGGAGAGTTTCACGTATCTTAATTGTGAGACTAATTCACTCCATTTTTTTTCTACGCTCACGATATCGATTGTTTAATAAAAACTTAATTAACTTAACCCGGCCTCACCCAGGTGAAAAATGTGTGTATAATAACCCAAGTGAGGTACTATGACCCCATTTAAAATTGATTGGAAAAACTCAACATACAGTTGCGGTCACGGAATAGTTTACAGGTTCACGTATCTAGGAGCACATTTTTGAAATTTTTACTTCGTTTAAACGCACCTTTTACGTCAAAGTGACGTTGCCAGTGTGTACTAGCTAGAATAGGTAGATTAAAATTAAAATATCAAAATATTTTACAAAATGAAAAATATAGAAAACAGTTTTTTGAATAAAATGGATTATGATCTTAATAACGAAAATAAAGAAGTCTTTTTTTAATATGCATTTTATTTTAAATCTATTTTTATATTAAATAACGATAAACAAATGATAAATAATAATTAATATTTGGTGGAAGCCCCATTCTTGTCAATACAATTTTGCAGTCTTCTGTTCATAGATAGCACCAATCCCCTCATGTTATAGTTAACAAGCTCTTCCCATGCCTGCTCAATTGCTTCCCATAATTCAATTCTATTCCGTGTCTAAGGTTTCTTTCATTTAGTTTCTTTGTTAACTCTGCCCACACATTTTCGACGGGGTTAAAGTCTGCACTACGGGAAGGCCACGGAAGAACATTAACATCAGTTTCTTCTAGCCATTCTCGAACATTCTACTCGTATGCACCGGGCAATTGTCATGTTGGAAGATAAAGTCGTTATTGGCGAATCTCTGGATCACCGATGGCAACATTGTGTGCTCAATAATATGTTTGTAATATAATCCTGTTAACTTCTCCTCTACATGATAACAAACGCCCGGCCTTCGGCACTTATCCATCCCCATACGTTGACAGAGAATCCTCCACTATTTCTTAAATGATGCGTAATACTGTTCATCATACCTATGATTTCTCGGCCTATAAACTCTTATTCGACCATTATTATACGACTGAAATACTTTTTCATCGGAAAATACAACCCTAGACCAAAAATTCTCATCGCGGTTTATAAATTCATTACAAATGAATCCTCAATCAAAAAAGGTTTCCGTGCAGCTACATGAGGAAATTTGATCCTCAGTCAAAAAAGGTTTCCGTGCAGCTAACACAATTTAGCAGTCCACTTGCTTTAATTCTTCGACGTGCAGTGCGAATACTGCCTGGAAACGCTGCCTCTTCTCTTGCCTTTTGAGCTGTGGCAAAAGGAGATTCTCTCAAATAATCTACTAACATCTCATCCTGTTAACTGTGGAAATCTTCTGCCCTCCTGAACCGCCCAACCGTGCTATAGAGTGAAAATTAAAGCATTGACGTTTTGAAATTTTTTGACTTTGACATTTATCAAATCCGTACGACACTGCAATTTTACAGTATTACAATATAAAAAGTAGGTTGTAAACTATTCCGTGACCGCAACTGTACATTTCGAACACGAATTTATTTTTTTAAATATCTTATTTGACTAAGTTTTCATAAATAACAGCAGTTTTTACCACTAGATTAAATTTGACGGCATATTAGGTAAAATTTACAAAATAATAAAATTCCTACAAACAAAAAACATTACACTTCATCTAATTTACATAACGATGCACGTCATCGGCGTCATAGCCCGTGACGTCACATGATACCAACACGAAATATTTAGGCGGTAGGTGTGTTCTTTTTTATAATCACTTTGGCCGAATACACTGGCATTACAGCCACTAGACATATTTTATTATATACGCGTAGAAATAATATTTAAAAATTTATATTATTGTTAACTTAAGAAATACACAATAATATGTTTCATTTAATTTGTATAAATGCATTATAAAGCGTTTTTACGAAGAACATTTGTTCGGAACACACTGTAACTGTAATCGCACGAAGGTGAAATTTTGGCATACCTTGGTGACACTTTTTGTACTTTATTATTTTGCATTTTAAAGTGAACACCTCTTGTTTTATATTTTTTACCTATTTAATAAAATCTGTTCTGTTTAGAACAAAATTAGTGTGGTTTTATTTCAAAAATGTCACATAAAAATTTAAATAGCCGTTGTAAAGAGATGGCAATACTTTTGTAATAATTATGTGACCTATTTGATCTAAAATAGATTCAGCATTTTTATACTTTGGCAACTATGTCAACTTTGATCTCTGACGTAGATAATGACGTGCATCGGTATGTAAATTAGATGAAGTATAGATACATAAAAAATTCACAAACAAAAGATAATGATTAAAAATAAGAGATTTTACAAAAAAGCTTTTTCAAAGGTTCAAATAGAAATATAAAAAAGCAGGACATTGGATATCCAAGCTTGAAAAAAGAAAGTGATCTAAACAATAAAAATTTTGGTATTGATGGCACGTTTTTTTAGTTTTCCGGTCAGATTTTCTGGAACAATTTTTACACCGTCCACGTCCCGTACGTTGCTTTTTCTGTGGAGCTTTCTTTGTAGGCTAAAGCTTTTTTATCTATCAATACATTGGTGCAGACCGTGATACCCACAAGCATTTCTTCATCGAAAAAAGAATCGATCCTGGTAAGTTCGAAATTATGTTCTCTGCTCTCGTTCTAATTGATTTAGTACTATGATGTTTTCTACATTTTGTTTTGGAATCCTTACCTAAATAATAAGGATATTTTTTATCTTAACTTTTGCGATGTTTTGGGTCCAGATTTCACACAACTTCCTGGTACTATTTTTGAGGCAACTTGTTCAATTTTAACATTTTTAATAATGAGCAAAATCTATATTTATGATTTTTTTTTTCATTTTCTTCTCTGTTGTCAAGTTTCTACTCTGGTTTAGCTGCTTAAGTAATGACATAACTTCAATTTGAATGCGAACCTACATAAATGATAAAAAAATGAACATTACCTTAGTTTCGGAAGTGGAGTTTCCTTTGCTTAAATCAATGTCAGTGAATTGTGGGAAGGGTGCAAGGTCCCCTCCAAAGTTAGGGAATTCGGGAAAGTCGCTGGAAGAATTTCCAGTTTTAATTCCTGGGAACCTATTCATAAACTGGTCCACTTGTTGCCTTATCTTTGTCATTATAGCTGAAAATAAAACGTTTATCTTAAATTGTAGTTCTACATAATTTTAAAATGAGTTTTATAAAGTTTAATGGAATAAAGCACTGAAAATTACAACAGTTATATCGATGGTTGTACAACTTCAGTTAAGAAATGTTGATGAAAATATTGTGCTAAAGCCTGTTTGATCATAAAGAATATAACCCTTAAGAGTACAAGATCATACAAAGCTTTCAATTCGAATCCCTGTAAGCTATTACTATAGTAACCTACTTATTTTTCGTCCTTCATAAAAATGAAGTTACTGGTGTTATAATGGGGGAAAAGTTAACATTACCATATTATCTGACATTTTGTTTAATAAATACATTCAAGATTCTTGCTTATATCTTGTTATTTTCAGGATTAGACCAATGTCATTCCTTCTGTTGTTTATTTTATTATAGTGGCAACGAACATTCAAAATGTTATAGTTTGTGTAGGCAGTATTCTATTTAATAATTCGTTGTTGTAAAATAAAAAACTTTAGTCACATTGTCAATAAATGATTCATCAATTTCTACTTAATTTCTTTTTATGTATCATTACAATAAACAATTAAAAATTATAATCCAATAATAATATAGGTATGAATAAATATTTTACTATATATTGTAAACGTATAAACATAATATGTTATTTATCGTAAAGTAATTAATATGGGGTTATTGAATACATATACATATTGTTCTTGGTGTTAACATTGAATGAACTACTTGTTACTTTTCCCGCATTAAAATCCCTTTGTTTCACCTATTTCTATGTATATAATTTATTATGTTTGCCCTGAAAAAAAAAAAGCAAAAACATCCCTTATGAAACGGACGTCAATTTCTCCAGTCCAGTCAACAATTTTAATTTATAAAATGGCTTAGAAAAAAATAAATATATCAGTAAGTATATCAGAATAAATATATCATAAATATATATTCTTATGTGTTTGTTTAATTTTGTTTGTTCAATCATTGGTCATTATTCATAATAGGTCTGGGTGAAGATATCCTTAAATGAAGCTTGAACGAAATATTGGTGTTGTTTGGCAGTGTTGCCATGTCCTTAGAATGTATATGTTGTATGCTTCAAATATACAGAGAGAAAGCTTTTAAAAAGTACTTACATTTTTATTATATTATTTTATGGATTCTGCAATTTTTTAATTTATATAAAACACGATCGAAAAAATGTTTGTTTATTTCGATATTAATTGCAGTTAATTATTAGATTTTTTTTGACAAATGACAATATGACAATCAAACCAACAGTTGCCAGATTGCAATAGATGTCTTTTAACTTTATTATTTACACTGAAATTTTATTTTTATTTTTAATTTACAATTTACTTTTTCTTTTTTGGTAATTTTAAACCATTCATTAATTTTTTATATTATTGCTTTTAAAGCATATTTTACATCACCATCATCATTCTGACTTTATAACCCTGCGTGGATCCTAGCCTCCTCAAGAATTTCTCTTAAAGGCAGCTTTACATCTAGGCTATGCAAGTCTCATGCTATGCAAGTCCGTCTTGCATGGCACATCTCTTGCCTAGCTTGACCTTTTTACATCTGAGATATTTCTGTGCAATTTTAGATCCCACTTTCATTGTTGCCAACAGAGAAAATATTTATCAATTTGAGGTTATTTTATTTTAAATAAATATACTGTACTAAAATAAATAATATAATAAATAAATATACACTATTTATGGTTAATAAAAGGGTGAAAGGATGTCAACCAAAGAAAAGAAAACATTGTTATTGTTGAATATTGCTGTTGTAGCAACAATAATGAAAAATAATAAAAAAAGAAAACCTAGAAAATGCTGGGTCAAACCTTGGTTGAATGCAGGACTGGGAAATTTAAAGTTACCCCAAGAGTTCTTGGATGCTAGAGACTTTCAAAGTTTTAAAAACTTTCTTCGAATGAACGAGTCCACTTTCTTTAAGCTCCTGGATAGAGATAAGGTTATCTTTTATTCTGTAATCTATTATAAATTGTTATGTTTGGCAACATGAATTTTAACGATAAATTGCAAGAAAATAGCATGAAAAATAGAACATGTTCTAATTTTTCGTCTAGCACAGGAATTGCTTGGAAATAGCCGTGGGCACGCGCAGTTCCATGATCTGTCTTGCATGGCTCTTGCCTAGCATGAAAATAGCATAATGTAAAACTGTCTTAAGTCGTCCCTATCCATCGCCTTTCTCTGCCAAGCACGTATACCCATATTTCTCATGTCTTTATCAATGTTATCAAGGAACTTTGTTCTGGGTCTTCCTTTTCTTCTCTAACCCATATTTTACATTTTTAATCTAAATTTCAACACTGTAAAACACCAATGTTTCGTTCAAGCTGCATTTGAGGCTAATTTCACCCAGACCTATTATGAATGATGTCCAATCATTGTAGTATTCTTTATACGGATCTTAATTTTAAAGCAAGTTTTTATACTGGCGTGTATTATTCTTTATAGTAAAATGCAGTGTAGATTGTCACGACACGATAGAATAGATCGTCATGACACGAAATAGTTGGAAAAGTCAATTTACTCGACAAGGGTAGTCCGTTATACAACATGTAAACATTTTATCTAATTATAAAAGAAAACTATATATTTCCACTAACGTCTTATTTATATCAGCGCAAAATAGTTCATAATATTTATTAGAATACTACTATTACTACTAAGGATTTCCACAGTTTTCACTGTCTTCCTTCACTCAACCGTTTTCTCCAATTTTCCCTGTCATTCCAGTCTCCATCTCGCAGGGTTCTTTTCTCCATAGCCTCGTCGATTTCGTCTCTGAATGACCTTCGAGGTCTTCCTCTCTTTTTTCTTCCGATCGGGCTCCATTCTGTGATTTTGTTTATCCAGCGTCCTCTTTCCGCTCTTCTGACGTGGCCGTACCAGGACAGTCTCTTCTCCTCTATATAGTCGATTATGTCTGATTGCACTCCCATTCTCCGCTTAATCTCTGCGTTTTCAATTCTGTCTCTTTTGTAAGTCTACAGCTTCTCCTCAGGAACTCCATTTCTACTGCTCTTATTCTACCTCTATTTCTCTTGTTTATTGTCCAGTTTTCGGACCCATATGTCAGGATACTTCTTGTCAGGGTATTATATATTCCTTTTTTGTCTTTATCGTAATGTTCTTATCCCACAGCACTGAATTTAGTTGTCTTATACAGTTTCTTGGTTCGATATTATGGTTCCTAAATACTTGAATTTATCTGTTCCATTTACTTGTCTTCCCTCGTCTATCTCTAGGTTTCTCATATCCTTGTTTTCTGTTGTTAGGTATTCGGATTTCTCTAAGATTTATTAGAATACTGGATATAATAAAATAGTGGTTGATAATCACCAAAATAAGTAATTGCTAATTAATATTTTGCTTTTACAATGTGAAACGACAAATTAACATTTGAAAAATGTTGTATTAATTAAAGAACAATAATTGAAATTTAAAATTCGAAATTTCCACAAACCAAAAATCATTTCTGGTGCAGTAAATTTAAAAGATGTATCCCATAATAATGGCATACATCATAATGACATACGCGGCAGAAACACGTCCTGACACAAAGAGGATAAAAAGGATGTTAAAAACAGCAGAGATGAAAACACTAGAAAAAATGATGAAAATACACCATGGGACAGAGCTAGAAGTACATATATACGTTGTAGATGCAAGCAGTAAAAGAGTTAGTAGTCCAGTCGTCAGAGACAAAAATGCCGCTGAACGTCTAAAAATCATATGAACAAGCCGAGAATATTTTGCCGAGAATATTAATTTTGGGACCCCAAAAAAGATACAAAAAAGTTTACCACTTTTACCCCTGAGCTTCCTCTAAAACCACCCTCGCAGAGGGGTAAAAACGCAAAAAATCGATTTTCACACAATCTGTTCAAATTCAGTTCTCTTAGACACAACGTTTAAAGGGGCCGTCGATTTTGCATGTCAGTTACCCGCGCGAAATCAATATTCAATAAAATTTGTATCAGCCCGACGGTAAAAATTCGATATCTTTTGTTTTAAGTGACCTATCGACAAAAATCAAGATGCGTTTTAAAGGTAAAGAGTTTAGCTTTTGTATACAGTTTTTGTATTTTTCTGCAACACCTTTATAAAAACTGATTTTATTCTCGGCAAAATACAAAAACTGCATACAAAAGCTGCACTATTTGCCTTTAAAACGTATTTTGGTTTTTGTCGGTATGACATTTGGATCAGAAGATATCGAATTTTTACCGTCGAGCTAATACAAATATTATTAAACATCGATTTCGTGCGCGTAACTGACATGCAAAATCGATGGTTGCTTCAAGCGTTGTTTCTAAGAGCGTTGTTTTCTGGCAAGGGGGGCAAGACAGGCAAAGCAGTGAATCGTGTGCATTGGAAGAAATATTACAGACTGCTTAAACATAAAAAATGGGGGAAAATAAAACACAGACAAAAAAATAAAAGTGAGAGGTGGCACTCTGTTTTTTGCAGAAAAAGTTGTGTGATAACTTCAGTAATATTAGTTGAGTTATTCTCCCTCTCAAATAGGCCGGTAATATTAAGATATTAAGTTAAAAAAGGAAAATTAAAATTTTCAAAAATTACTAAAAATATTTCTATTTCCCTTGCTTATAACTTTAAAGTGATTTATTTGAACAAAGTCGTACAAAAATAAAATAGTGATAAGTGAATTTTCTATAAGATACGAGTAGTTAAAAAATGTTTTAATTTATTACCCATGCTGCAAAATAGCAAAAAATATAAAAAAACGGGGAAAACAAGAATTTTCTTATTTATTGTTTTTCAACCACTTTGATTGCACTTAAGACCTTCATAATTCGCCTAGAAAATTCTTACAATATAATAAAATAGTCCATCAAAATTTCATTAAAATCGACTGAATATATTTCGCATAATAATTTTGCAATCTATTTTTTTTTAACTAAAAAGCGGTCAAAGTTAACCTGTATTTGCGAGAAGTTAT